CCCTCTCTCTCTGCCCTTCCCCTGCTTGTTCTCCCTCAAAAATATATAAACATTTAAAGAATTAATAAAGTATCACTATCTTAGACAAGAGCATAATTTAAACTTCTTGAAAATTACAGTTCCTTTATGATGATTGTAACAATTACTCCCTTTTGGGGCACCTGGATGGCTCAGTCAGTTGAGTGTCCGACTCTTGATTTCAGTTCAGGTTATGATCTCATGGTTTGTGGGATCTAGCAGTTGGGTTCTGTGCTAGCAGCACAGAGCCTGCTTGGGATTCTCTTTCTCTCTCTCTCTCTCTCTCTCTCTGCCCCCTGCCCCCACAGCTCCGCATCCACACTCTCTCAAAATAAATAAACATAAAAAAAGAGAATGATTCCCTACTAACATAAATTCTTTAACTTTTATAATGTTACTGGTGGCAAAATTTTTGGCTACATAAACATTCCTGAAAAACCTTTCATTGCAGCCATTTTATTAAGCAAAATCCTTAAGATCCTCTCCAGACATGGCCTTCCCTCCCATGCCTGCCCTATGCATCTCTACCACTTTGCTGTTTCTGAATTGTATTGTTTATAATAAAACTGTGGTCATAAATATAATACTTTCCTGACTTCTATGAATCATTCTAATCAATTACTGTACCTGAGTGAGGATCATGGGAATGTCTCAACTTGCAGTCTGCTGGGCAAAAGGGCAGTGCTTTGGGGATACCCAAGACTTGGAGCTGCTTTTTGAAATAGGGCAGTCTTGTAAGACTGAGCCTCTAAACCTGTGGGGTTCTGTGTTAACTCTGGGTAATAAGTGTCAGAATTTAATTAAATTGTAGGACACTCAGTTGGTGTCCAAAAATTGGCAGTCATTGGAAAATGATACACATTTCCATTCCATAGGAGAAATTAGGTTACTCCTCCTTCATCTTAGGCCAACCAAGGGGGCCCCTTTGGACTCCATTGTCCAAAATGGAATGATGAGATTGTTTAGAAGGATTTTTGTTGTGTTTCCTAGAGTTTAGAGGAAAAGACTGTTTTGGACCTGATGTAGACCCAATAGAGGGACAATGTGTCTCCCAACAAGGCAGTAGATGACAGAATGCCTAAGTATAAGACATATATTATTAAGTAGCCATTTTAAGGAGATGCATTGCCTATATCACAGGGAAGTACAAATAGAGATTTTCAGAAGGGATTTCTCCCCAAATCACACATTTTCTTACCCCATAAGAAAATGAGTCAGTGCTAAACATCCATAAAAGCAAAGGAGACCAAGACCAAAACAATAGCACCAATCAAGTAAAACTTTTCTCCTTACCTCCTCCTCCCTACCCATTGCAACCTCAATAGGAGCCAGAAATTACCTACTGGGAGGGAGAAAAGAAACTTAGGTTGATGAAATGAAGAAGTTTAGTATATGCCCTTTTTCATACTGCAAGCTTTTAAGCTTACAGCAAGGCGGAACTCAAAGAAAAGCCTTTAAATGAAACTTACATATTATTATACTCAACTGGAGATTGTAATTAGTAAAATGAGACTGATCTTGTTACTAAAAAACAACTTGGTAAAGGATACCAAGGAGCGATCAAATCAATTATAGGGACTGCACAAGTTTTTGACCAGGGCAACAACAACAACAAAAAATTAGCCATAGAGACAGTTGAGGGTAGAAATTATGAAAAAAAAAAAAAATTCTTTTGCTTACTTCCTATGGAGTCCTGCTTATTTCAAAGTTATGGTTATAAGCTGATTTGGTCTTCTAGGCACATATTCATATCATCTGCAAAATGATAATCTTACATCTTCTTTTCTAATTTTTAACCTTTTTTTCCTCTTGTCAAAGTGCTTTGGTTAATAACAACAGAACAATGTTAAATAACATTGGTGATGGTGTATATCCTTGTCTTTTTTTCTGATTTTACTAGGAATACTTCAAATATTTCCTGATTAAACATTAGGTTAGAAAAATAAGTGGTGCCTGTCTGGTTAGTCAGTAGAGCATGCAACTCTTGATCTGGGGGTTGTCGGTTCAAGCCCCACATTCAGTGTAGAAATTACTTAAAAATAAAATCTTTAAAAAATTATCTTCTACTATATTATACTACCACCCTAGAGTTATCCCTATTAATACTGGGCAACAATCTTCACTAGAGAAATAGCAAGCATAATTAGAGGCTGATGTGAGAGGGCAACCTGATATTCTGGGTTTTGGCACAAGAGAATGGATTGAAAATACTCAGCCATCTTCTAAAGAAAGTCAGATAGAAAGGTCAAACTGAACAGATTTCGGACAATGGATTCTTAATCTGATTTCCTTTGCCTCGGTACCAAACACACACGTCTAAAACATTGAGAGTAGATGTGCCTATTTCCAAATTTATACTTCAAGAAAACACTACCATACTGAGTTCTCTACTTCAATACATTCTAATTTTCGCATAAGAAAATCATAAGGTGAATGGATAGCCTTATGATTTAGAGAGTTCCTCAAAATTAGAAGTGTTAAGGTACAATAGAATAAACGTATTTTTACTACGAGTTGGGAAAAGAATTCTAAGACTCTAGCTACCTGACATGCTCTCCACCCCTCCTAAGACAAGGCAAGCTTCTTTTGCTTAATATTGCTTTGATTTGAGCTATATGTAACTAAGTTTAGTTAGAGGCTGAGAGTGGGAAAAGAGAGAGAGATAATAAGGCAGGGGTAATCTTTGAAGGTGGCTGAGAATTTTCTTAATAAATAAAAAGCACCTATCCACAAATTCAAAAAATGCTACAAATCCCAAGCAGATACAATCTTTAAAAGGCACATTTAGACACACTATACTAAAATTACAGAAAACCAAAAACTGGGAGAAAGTCTTAAAAACAGCCAAAGGAAGAAAAGCCAAAATACCTTCAAAGGAGAGAGAAGCTAGAATAATCAAGACTGTGATACTGTGACAGAGCAACAGAACAAGGAGGACAAATAATGTATGTCCCATGTACATAAGGACACTGGATATTTATATATATATTTGGATATATCTGAAATGAGAACATAGCAGACTAATATATGATACAATTTACGTCATACACAATAGCCAGAGGTGCATTAAATATATAAATAGGACAGGCAAAACTTTTTAAAAAAGATTTTACACCTAATGTGGGGCTCAAACTCACAGCTCCAAGATCAAGAGTCACATGTCCCACCGACTGAACCAGCCAGGCACCACGCAAAGGTAAAACTTATACCTTTAAGCATAAATGTAGAAGAATATTTGCATAACGTTGGGAAATGAAAAGGTTTCTTAAAATACAAAAAGCACCAACCATAAAGAAAAAAAATTGATAAATTTGACTATGTTAAGGTTAAGACTTCTGTTCATAAAACCAACTTAAAGGTGGGTAGAACAGAACTCATTCATACAAAGAAATATGTATCTTTGAAAAATAGTATTCACAAAGACCATTTGACAACACAGAAGAATGACACTTTTTAGTCAAAATGTAGGATATGACATGGTAAATGAGGTATAATTTGATTTTGGAAAAATAATAAAAATTCATTGAAATATTAATAGTAGTTGAGTGATGACATTTTATTTTTTCTTGGTAATTCTGTGTTTTCGAAATCTCTACAGTAATCATGCTTTTATTTTAAAATTGTAACAAATATTTAATTTAAAAAGAAGAAAACAGCAAACAGAAGTGGAGCCATTTTCCAAATAAGTGAACATTAGGTATTTGGTGCTGTTGGGTTTAATGCCAGGCTGGACTATTCTTTCCTCTAACAGGGAAATTATAGGCATCTATAATCAAATGGCATATCTTTATTAAGCACTTAACTTTCAAATGAAAGAAGTCAAAGAGGAAACCTCAACATACCTTGGACACTGCTTGTAGAAGTTCATTTTGCATTCTTTCCTTCTCTCCTGCACCTGGAGAGGGGCAGCACTGGGAGAGGAAAAAGTAATTGTAAAACACCACGTTTTCCTTGTTTCCCAAACTAGTCTGATCAGAGGTCAGCCCCAGCCCCAACCCCAGCACCCACCACACACAGGGAATGGAGATCAGAGGAGAATAAGGAACCCTACCCAATCCCAGTGTGTCAAGAAAAAGCTGCGGTCACTGCTGTCAAGGGGCTATAATCTGACTAAACTTCACAGAGGTTCCCCGGGGACAGAGTTCTGGAGTTACAATATTACACATGACAGGAGGCCCATACCCAGACACATAGTGCCACACACACCGGGTATGGTCATACTTAAAACAATGGGTTACGCAGTCCACACAGCGCCACACAGGGTAACACAGCTTTAATCGCATTCCCACCACCGAACACCTAACAGTTACTCTCCTACAGTCGCAGGGTCACAGTCATACATCGCCATAGGGACACAGGACGCAGTAGCCGCACAACTATAGACAACCGATATCTGCACACAGGTCTCAGTGTAACAATCTCACAGACAATCCCACAACCTCTCCTTTTCATGCCGCTCCGCCCGCACAGGCAAAAGGACCCAACTCCGTACCTGCCTCCGGTCTCCTCAATTTAGGCCTTTCCGTTCTCCCGGGGTAGCAATCTGCATAGCTGAGCCGGTTCCCCCGGGGTCCATGGACTCGCACCTCACGGATCTAACGGTCCCGCCAGGCGTGACAAAACGTTCGACTTCCTGCGAGAAGAGTGGTGACCGGCCACCTAGCCCTCTGGGAAATGTGGTCCAAAGCTGGACCCACAGCTAGCGCCCTGCCTGGGCCCTCCTGAAACGACTATAACTCCAATTCTCAGCGTCTAGCCGAGTCTCAGGGTTGCGGGGCACGTGAGCTTGGCAAGATCCTGCTGGCTCTCGAGCTCTGACCTGGCCCGCACCACTCTCCCAAACAGGAAACGCAGACTGCGTCCTGGCCGGAAGTTGAATCGGGCCGCGAGGCCTTCTGGGAGGTGTTGATGTGGTCAGAGGCGTACGTTGGGAGGCGGGTGCGAAGGGATGGTTCGGCGTTACCCGTCCCTGGCTCGGACCCTTCCGTGGGTCGCCTTCACCCAGCCTCCCAGATACTGGGTGCGCATTAGAGCGCTGGATGCGCATTCTGGCGTTTCCGGCAGGTGACGCTACCGCGTCTCCGCAGCGGGGCATGGGGGAGGGGCTTGAGCTGCCTGGGCTGCTCTGTTGCGCCGCTCACGGGGCGGGGCGTCTCAGAAGGCCCAGTGCCTCTGGAGTGCGAAGTGCTCGGAGTTGGGAGTACGCAACTGGAGGGTGCCTGGAGTTGTTGGAACAAGAAACTGTGGTGGGAGTCAGTGTGTGTGTGGGTGTGAGAGAGAGAGAGAGAGAGAGACTGGTGATGTGTGTGCGAGTAAGGGGGCGTGGCTGGGTGTGAGAGTGAGGGAGTAATTGTGATGGTGATGGGATGTATGATTGTGGTGTTTGTGTTGTGTTTGTGGTTGTGTGTGGCTGTATGGTGTTTGTGTGGTTCTCGGAGAAGGTCTGTGGTGAGATGTTTGTGATATGTGTAGTGGTTCTTGTCTTGAGTTGACTTGGGTGTAACGTTTGTCATAGTTGGTAACCGCTTGAAAAAAAGTATGTATAAATTTTTTTTTGTATTTGGTTGTAAGCAGTCCTCCCTGCCCATTAGTCTCCTTAGTCTCCTTTGCTGTCTTTTTTTCCCTGGAAGTTCTTGGCGCTTTTCTATTGCTTGCCAGTTTTCCTGTCGATCTTTTCCAGATTCATTATCTCAACATCATATGGCTTGCTTCCTTTATCATATGTATTATTTAGCTATTGTCATGATAATAATGCTGCCAAACAAACTATCCCTAAACTCATACTATAGCAAGCATTTATTCTCATGCTCACCTGTTCACAGGTTTTCTGTGTTCAGTTTACTTAGGCTGTGGTTGGCTGAATGGCTGGACTGCAGTATGGATTTAGACCTGCTCCACATGTGTTCTTTCTGCTGCTCAGGCTAAAAGGACAGTGGTTACCAGGGCGTGTTCTCATTATGATCACCAGAGCACAAGACAGATCCTACAAACACCCTTAAAAACCTCTGCTCCTAATTATACTAATACATTAGCCAAGGCAAGCCACCTGGCTAAGCTTAATGTCAGTTACACCCAAAATGGGAGGACAAGGTAAAGTTACATGGCAAAGAGTGAATATTACAGTGGGGGTCAAGGATTGGGACCAAGATTCTAATCTACCACATTAGAAAACATGCCTTTTTATCCTGGCAGATGCCTTTTAGTCCAAGCTCTCTTTTGTCTGATAATATTCCTTTTCAGGTTTTGTTATGGTATTACCCAGGAATTTCACTTTCCAACCCCTTCTATTTATATTTTTATGTTCAAATCTCTTGTAAAGAGTATGTTGCTGGGCTTTTTACCCTTTTATCCTAATAGGTGAGTTTAATTCATTTACATTTATTGTGATTGCCGATATAAATTTGTTTTCTACTTGTTGTGACTTTTTTATTGTGCACAATATTGTAACTTATTCCCCTTTCTTCAGTGCTTTGGTTTCTGTTCTTTTCCTTGGATATTTAATATGCACACTTAGCAAAACCCAAACTTAAGACTTTTGAACACTTGAACTCCAAACTGCCCACTCATTTCTTATTCTTATCTAACATATTACTTTCTTCTGATTTTAAATGCTCCAAATTAGTACAGTTCATTTGTTAAATGCATATTTATGTATTTTTATGTATATAAATGTGTACAAAATGTTTATATATAATGTGTGTGTATATATATTTTTAAATTTTGATAAAATAGAGATAACATGGCACGTAACATAGAATTTCCCATATTAATATCTGCACCCCCATTTTCATTGCAGCATTATTTACAATAGCCAAAATAGGGAAATATTCATCAACAGATAAAGAAACAGGTAAAGAAAATGTGGCATATATATACAATGAAATACTATTCAAAGAAGGAAAATCTGCCATTTGTGACCACATGGATGAACCTGGAGAACATTACGCTATGTGAAATAAGCCAGTAACAGGACAAATACTACATAATTCCATTTGTATGACATATCTAAAACAGATTCAAGAAGCACGAGAATAGGAAAATGGTTGCCAGAGCTTGGAGGTAGAGGGAAATGGGGAATTGTTGTTCCTTGGGTACAAAGTTTTTGTTGTGCAAGATGAATAAGTTCTAGAGATCAGTACAACACAGAACCTACATTAACAAAACAGTATTATGCACTTTGTTAAAAGTATATATCTCATGTTAATTATTTTTACAGAAACAAAACACAAAACGCAGGAAATCTTTGGAGGTGATAGATATGATTAGAACTTTGGTTATAGAATTGGTATTGGATATATGTATTTGTCCAAATTCATCAGGAGGTATATGTTAAACGTGCAATTTTTTGTATATTAGTTGTACCTCAATAAAGCTAAAAACATAGAAATATTTAACATTTTAATCATTTTTAAGTGTTGAGTTCAATGGCATTACATTCATATTGCTTTACCACTATCACCACCATCCATCTATCCATGCATAGAGAACTCTTCATCTTTCAAAACAGAAACTTTATATCCATTAAACAATAATTCCCCATTCCTTGGATTCCCCAGTCCCAGCAACTACCATTCTACTTTCTGTCTATATGAATTTGACTAAGTACCTTATATAGTTTGGATCATACAGTATTTGTCTTTTTGTGAATGGTTTAACTTGGCATAATATCCTCAAGGTTCATCCCTGTTAAAGCATGTATCAGAATTTACTTCCTTTTTAAAGCTAAATAAGATTCCGTTGTATGTGTACACCACATTTTGTTTATCCATTCATCTGTCAGCACACACTTTGGTTGCTTCCATCTTTTGACTATTGCAGATAATCCTGCTATAAACATGGGTGTACAAGTCCCTGCTTTCAGGTTTTTTAAGTGCATCCCCAGAAGTGGAATTTTAGGATCAAATGGTAATTCTATCTTTCATTTTTTGAGTGCCATACTGTTTTCCATAGTAGCTACAGCGTTAAAAAATTTTTTTAATGTTTATTTTTGGGGGGGGACAGAGTGTGAGTGGGGGAGGGGCAGAGAGAGAGGGAGACACAGAATCTGAAGCAGGCTCCAGGGTCTGAGCTGTCAGCAGAGAGCCTGATGCGTAGCTCAGACCCACAAACCGTGAGATCATGACTTAGAGCCTAAGTCGGCCTCTCAAGAACTGAGCCACCCAGATGCCCCGTGGCTACACCATTTTAATTAACATATTTTTTTGAGCACCTACCATTAATGGCAAAAACAGATCAAATAAATCCCTGTTTTCATGGAGTTTATATGAGGGGGGCACAGACAATATGTATGATAAATAAATTATATAGTTTGTTAGTGATAATTGCCATGGGGAAAAAATAGAAACTGTATGAGGGATATTAGGAGTATCTCAAAATTATTGTAATTGAATGTTACTGTTTTATTCTGATCTGTCGTACAGTGCAAGGATTATTCTACTCTCTTACTGTAATTTTACTTTTTACCTACTAAAGGCTCAAAGCAGATGATAAATTAATATTTCTTAACTTGGCCGTTTTATTCATCCAGTATCACTGTGATGTGAGTATAATTCTCGTTTCAGATGAAGAGTATTGGAATTCTAAATTGCAACTCTCTTTTAGTTCAATTGCCAAGATAAATAGGAAATGGAATAGTTGCAACTCTCTTTTACTTTGAATCTAGAGTTGCTGCAAAGCTGAGTCTTTTCTTCCTCAACTTTGTATTTGTCTCTGCATAGAGTCTACACCTTTATGCTCACAAAAGATATTTGAAGAGCAGACACTATGTGAACATCACTGTGGTGTTCACCTTGTTTCTATATAGTCTTGGTGTTTCTCCTGAGTACTTGGTTCAACTTAGGTTGCTAAGTCTTTGAGTTTTCCTCCAGATTTCTGCTATCTCTGCATCTGGTCAGTCACTCCAGTGAATGTGAATTATAAGCAAGGAAGCTAATTGGGGCTGTATTAGTTATCCAGGATTGTGTAACAAATTGCCTTAAAAGTCAGTGGCTTAAACAACAGTAAACATTGTCTCACTTTCTGTGAGGAGTGAGGAACAACTTATCTGGATAGTTTGACTCAGATATTTCATGAAGTGACAGTCAAGATGTTGACAAAGCTGCAGTCATTGTAAGGCTAGACTGGAGCTGGAGGATTTGCCTCCTAGATGGCTGGCAAGTTAGTGTTAGCTGAGGGCAGGAGCCTCTCCCTATGACTGGTTGAGTGTCTTCACGGAATGGTGGCTGGCTTCTCTCAAACTGCATAATTCAAAAATGTGCAATGCAGAAACCACAGTGTCTTTTATTACTTAATTTTGGAAATCACACACTGTCATTTCTGCAACGTCCTATTGGTTAAGCAAGTCAGTTCTATTCAGTATGGGAAGAGTGTACAAAAAGCATGAATACCATAAGGCAGTGATCATTGGGAGCCATCTTGGAGGCTGATTACCATAGGGATCTAGTAAGAAAAAATAAAAATCAAGTAAATTGGATTTGTTTCATACCTACAGGTCCTGCCTCAACAAAGATAAGACAGATCTGTGATGTGACTAAAAGGAAGCCTGAAGAGCAGGTATCCATCATGGAAGGAGACTTTCTGACCTGAGACCTCTCCTGGAGACTGGAGAGTCCTGAGATAGAGTGGACGCTGGAATTACTGGATCTGCAGCTAATTTTAACCCTTCTGCCCTGAGTGGGCAAAGCCTGAATGACTTCTCAACCTTGAGACATCAGCAGTAGCTGTGTGACAGTGGAGCGTTTGACCCAGATGATGGAAGGGAGAGGTGAGGTGTCTCAGACATGGGCAGAGTTTAGGAGAGAAAGGCTGTGCATTTAGGGGCAGAAAGAGTAAAAAGAGTTAGGAAATTCAGTACTCCTAACAAGAAAGTTCCTATGGGTGTAATTGACGGTGCAGGGTAGACATTTATTCTTTATTTATTCACTTGACTGTTGTTTGATTTTTTTTAATAAATATTTTAAATGTAATTTCTATCTTTCTTACATTTAGATTTTTTTAAGGGCTGTCAAATATATAACCATAAGCAAAATTTCCTACTCTATCCTTTCTTATCCCCCGATCCCACTCCCCAGAGGCAACCATTTTGAACATTTTAGTATTCAATTCCACTTTCCAAAATAACATCCTCATACAGCTCATGCTTGATTTCTCAGTTTTAGATATTTCCTGGTGACTTTTGACAATGGAGATAAGGATTTATCTCTGTTTTCTACCTAACCCCTTTCTTGTCTCCCTCATCCCACCCCTCCCCCTCTCACCTTCTCCTTGCCCTTCTTTCTAATATGGTGTTATTAGAAGTTGAAGGTTGACCAAATGTCAGGATCTGCATCTATTTTCTTTTGGGCTAGTCAGTTTTCCCAGCAAGAAGTCCTAGATTTTGCTTGAGGAGTATAAGCCAGAACTGCTTTGGGAAGGCAAATAAAGGTAGGGAGTGGGAAAAGGGGAGGGGAAGGATACCTCATCTTTCACTTTAAAGTGAAAGTTGTAATACTTTTTTATTTTCTTACTTTCTATACATTGCTTCAACCCTGCATTCGGTTCCCATCCCATACTCCTGGCTGCAGAAGTACCTAGTGTCCCTTTCCTAAGCCTTCAAGAGTTCTGCCATGGTCTCCCCACCCTTCCGCCACCCTCATTTAAGCTGCAGCTTTCTCTACTTAATTTAGAAGATAGTCATCTGTCTAATCTCTAGCTTCCAAAATTTTGTTGATATCTCTTACCTGCTGAAATCTCTATATTCTTTATCCTCGTGAGATTCAGCTTCCTTTGTTCCTTTACTTTCATCTTGGTTGGCTTTGGAAGAGGGCAGGAGTAAATGCAAATATGCACTCTTCCATAAGTTTTTAGATTAAAAAATAAATTAATTGTTTTGAAAATATCATTAGAATCATGATTGCATTTTATTTATTCCATCATAAGAATGTTTCACAATGTCTATAACTCGTCTCTGATGAAAGTTTTCCACATTTTTTACAGTGCTTCATAAATTATATGACTTTTTAATCTTTGTGGTATTTATTAGTGTGTACTTGAGATAAATTTCCTATTAAGAATAAAATAACAGAATCCTAGGGAAAAGCTCGAAAAATAAAAATAAAAAAAAAATAAAAATTCTTTCTAATTTCAAAAAAAAAAAAAAGAATCCTAGGGAAAAGCTATGTTGGCAATAAATTAATTGGACACCTTGTACTTAGCCTTCCAGAAATTCCCATTAAACCCTGGATGGTTACATTAGTCTTTCAAGTATGTTTCAGCATCTCTATAGCCCAGTGGTGGTTAACATTTCTCAGTGCTCTGAGGATCATTATAGATGATATTATATCTACCTGGTACTGAAGATTTCTATAGTACTTTGTCTGGAGCTCTGAAGTAAATTTGCTTTATTTCTCTTCCCTCAGCTTGGCATTCTCAGGACTCTGACCTTTTGGAGGAAGAAGAGGATATGACCAAGTCTCTTGTACGTTTAAGCATTTATTTGTTTCCTGCATTATTTTGCAGTGCAGTAGCAGTGGGTTACCTTAACTTACCAGTATATTGGAAAAAAACTAAATTGATAAAAATTGAAGTAAGGAAAAATACAGATGGAAGATCAGAACAAGGTGAAATTTGGGATACGGCTCTGCAGAAACAGGTCCATACAAAGTTATTAAAGTTGAGTTCAATTGAGTATGAGTAGAAGAAACAAAAGCAAACTGGGATGCAAAGTTTATTCCATAATTTGCACTGTTTATGAGTAAAAAGCTATTAAGGAAGGAAAGAAAGAGAAAGCTTTTCTTTGGCACCTAGGTCAAAAAGAAATTCCAAAGTCATCATTCTTATAATTTTAAGGTCAATTTTTTTTTAAAAGTCTGTCCTGGCCAAAGACTAAAAACTAAAATTATCCTGAAGAGTAAATGAAACACATCTTTCAAATGATTCTCTCTCTATATATATATTTTTTCTTCAGTTAAGATTTTTACAAATTGAGCTAAAACATACTAACATTCTATGGAAAACTCTTCTAGTTCTCTTAGTCATAGCTTTCCACATATTTTTTTTTATTATTAACTCAGAGGATTCAGTATTCTTTGTCTTCTTGTGAAATAAGTCATTCTCCTTTGCTCTTGATTCTTTTTGCTTCCAATTCTAGAATCCCTCACACCCCTGTGGTTTAAATATTATCTACTTTGCTACCTCTTTCTTAGTTTATATTTCTCATCCCAAACACACAGACACACTCCTTTTGGATGTGTGATTATGTGGTTCATGCAGTTATTTCTCCTGTTGGCAGAGTGCTTCTCTAGGCTTATGGAGACTTGGGTTCGAACCTTGGCCCAGCGACTTACTAAGTACATGTTATGGTCAGGTTTCTTAACCCCTTTGGCCTTAGTTACATTGCTTATAAATAGGAATTATAACAATACTTATTCCATAGGAATACATGTTTTTCCTTATCTTTGTTATCCTTTATATTCCTTAGGGATTATCTATTTCTAAAACATTTATTGAATGATTACTGTGTCCCATGCTTAGTTCTGAGCGCTTCTCTTTTGTCTCCTTTAGTTCTTACATCAACCTATTGAGGAAGATGACGCTTTACAGATGAGGAAACTGAGACTCAAATTTGGCTATTGTTGAGGTCACACAATTAGTAAATTTTGAAGCTAGTAAATTTTGATGTCAGACTCTACAGCCTCACTGTTAACCAGGAAAAATGTCTAAATTGAGCTTCACTTTGAGAGCCTAGTACTTTGAAATTTTTTTCCAGTTAGGTATGTGTTAATTAGATATCTATTCTGCTTTTCTGCTTCTTTTATCATGCTTGGCATCTTTAGGTTGACTGTGTGAGTTTTCGGCTCTGCTCTGGGATGCAGGTCAACTGGTCTTACCAGATCACTAAAGTGCATGAACCAAGTCAAGTGAAGAGCTTGCCCCAGGAAGCTGCAGCCCTTTCACCTGAATGAACGCATAAGGAGCAGACTTGAGGCCACCCAACAGCCTGAGTCAAGGCAATGAGTTGTCTTTTTACTTACTTGGTGATGGCCTTGAAAGCACAAAATTTTTACATTTATCTAATGTCCATTTTTTTTCCCTTTTGTTGCTTGCACTTTTGGTGTCATATCTAAAAATCCATTTCCTAATCCAAGGTTACAATTAACACCCTTTAACACTGTCATAATATCTCTATTTTTATTTCAGCTCCTTCAGTTTTTTTCATTTGTGCCTTTGGTTTTTCTTTGTATTGTATGAAGATCTTTAGATCTTCATTCCCCATTTTTCATATTTGTCATCATCTTTCAACATTTTAATCTCTTTGTTATTTTACTTTGCATCTTAGGAGAGAGTCTTAGTTCTCACATCCATGATCACTTTGACAGCTCTGTCCTTTATGCCCTCCAATATCTATTAAAAAATATTTTTCATCTCCTGAGTATTTTAACTCTGTAGTTGAATCTCTATTATGTTGGCAATCCCTGATCTTGCCCATTTCCTTTTTCATCACATCCCTGTTTTACATTTCAGCCAGGTCTCTCCTTCAGCACAGAGCTTCCATCCTCTCTCCAATCACACCTCCATGCATTCACCAACCTGGAAGCTCCTATACCCATGTTTTTTTTCTAAAAAATTGTATAGTTTTAGCTCCTAGCTTTAGGTCTTTGATTCACTTTGATTTAATTTTTTTACCTAGCATGAGGTAGAGATTCAACTTCACTGTTTTTGCATTTAGATAATCTGCTCTAGCAATCAGAACGAGACTTCTTTTCCCCAGTGAATTGTCTTAGAGCCTTTATCTAAAATCAGTTCACTAAAATGTGAGGGTTCATTTCTGAAATTTCAGCTTTATTCCATTGATCCCCTGTGTCTATCCTTATGCTAGTACTATAACTGTCTTGATTATTGCAGCTTTGTATTATGTTTGAAATTGAGAAGTGTGAGTCCTCCAGTTTTTCTTTCTCAAGTTTCATGTTTTTTTCTTTTTTGACTGTTCTGTGTCCCTTGCATTTTTATGAGAATTTTATTAGGATCACCTTCTCCATTTCTGTAAAAAAAAAAAAAAAAAAAAAAAGCAACTAGTATTTTGATAGGGACTGCATTGAATTTGTTTATCAGTTTGAGGTGTATTGTCATCTAATATTAAGTTTTACAATCCATGTACATGGGGTGTCTTTCTTTTTTTTAGGTCTTTAAAATTTCTTTCAATAATATTTTATATTTTCAGAATGTAAATTTGACACCTATTTGTTAAATTGGTCCTTAAGAATTTTATTCTTTTTGATGCTATTGTAAATGGGATTGTTTCCTTAATTTCATTTTTTAAGTTTATTATTTTGAGAGAAAGGGAGAGAGTGCAAGCGTGTGAGGAGGGGAAGGAGAGAGAGAGAGAGAAAGAAAGAGAGGGAATCCCAAGCAGGCTCCCCACTGTCAGCATGAAGCCCAATCTAGAGCTTGAAATCACAAAGTATGAGATCATGACCTGAGCCAAGAGTCAGACGCTTAACTGACTGAGCCACCCAGGTGCCCCTTAATTTCATTTTTGGATGTTGACTACAAGTGCTAGAAATGCAACTGAGGTTTTTGTGTTGATTCTATATCCTGCAACCTTGCTGAAGTTGTTTACTAGTTCTAATAGAATTTTAGTGGAGTCTTTAGATTTTCTGTGTACAAAATCATGCCATATGAAAATAGTTTTTTCTCCTATCTAATCTGGATGCCTTTTATTTCATTTTCTTGCCTGATTTAAAACCTTCATTGCAATGTTGAATAAATGTGTACATCCTTGTCTTACTCCTGACCTTAATGGGAAAGCATTTAGTCTATTACCATTTGTTATGTTAGCTGTGGATTTTCTGTAGATGCTTTATATAGTATTGAGGAAATTTACCTTTTTTGCTAGTTTGTTGAGTGTTTTTATCATGAAAAGATGATGTGTTTTTTTAATGTTTATTTATTTTTGAGAGAGAGAGCTCAAGCAGGGGAGGAGCAGAGAGAGAGATAGGGAGACACAAAATCTGAAGCAGGCTCCTGGCTCTGAGCTGTCAGCATGAGCCAGACATAGGGCTCAAATTTATGAACCATGAGATCATGACCTAAGCCAAAGCTGGATGCTTAACTGACTGAGCCACCCAGGCGCCCCTGATTTTTTTTCTCATGATATTTGTCCTGTAGTTTCCCATCACTAGTGATTTCATACGCTTTCAACCATAGCAAAAAAGGTTTCAAGTGTATGAGTTCATGTGTGTCCAGTTGTGTGTCTTGAATCGGGAATATTTGTGGGATTCTGAGACTCCTCCTACTGAGTTGGAGAAAAAAATGTAGTGTATAAGAACATGAACTTTGCTGTCATACTTCTTGCAATCCCAGCTCTCCCATATAAGTAGCTTCATGACCCTGGGAGTTACTTATAACTCTGGTTTCTTTACTTTTTATTTTTATATTTTTAAAGATTTTATTTTTAAGTGATCTCTACACCTAACATGGGGCTTGAATTTACAACCCTGAGATCATTGCTCTACTAACTGAGCCAGCCAGGCGCCCCTGCTTACTTTTTAAATAGATAATAGTAGCCACTACATAGCCTTATAAGGGGAATTTTAAAAGTTAATATATCTAAAGAAACTATTACAGTACCTGGCAAATAATAACTACTCAATAGTTGACAGTTATGATAATGTTGATGGTAGTAATGATCATAGATCATAAGACAGTTTCTCAGAAACATTGCAGTCTAGGGGCGCCTGGATGGTTCAGTCAGTTAAGTGTCCAACTTTGGCTCAGGTCGTGATCTTACAGTTCGTGGGCTTGAGCCCCATGTCGGGCTCTATGCTGACAGCTCAGAGCCTGGAGCCTGCTTCAGATTCTGTATCTCCCTCTCTCTGTGACCCTCCCTGCTCACTCTGTCTCTCTCTCTCTCTCAGAAATAAATAAAAAACATTTAAAAAAATAAAATCACCTTTAAAAAAAAATGCATTGCAGTCTACCCTTTGGTGATTTTCATTTGTATTTCCTATTTTGCCTATCTCATTTGTACTTTTTCTTGAATAAATTCTCCCAAATGTGGGATATATGTGTGTTTTTCTTCTCAGAGCCTTTGCAGATTAAAAATTGTTTTTCCTTATTTCCTTATTTGAATATTGAAGTTTTTAAATAAAGATGAAGGATTAGATATATGTAATCAAGTAACATTCTTTTCCAGAGATATGTCATTTGTTTCTTGGCTTCTTTTGCACCACAGTTAATGGTTTTAATTCTCAGCCTCTGATTGTAAATAAACAAGAAACAGGGTCACCTTGGTGGCTCAGTTCGTTAAGCATCTGACTTTGGTTCAGGTCAGGATCTCACAGTTCATGAGTTCAAGCCCTGCATTGGGCTCCCTGCTGTCAGCACAGACCCCACTTTGGATCCTCCCTCTTCCTCGATTTCTGCCCCTCCCCCACTCATGCACACATTCTCTCTCTCTAAACAAAAAATTTTTATTTATTTATTTTTTTTTAAATTTTTTTTTAATGTTTTATTTCTAGGAGAGAGAGAGAGAGACAGCGTGAGCAGGGGAGGGTCAGAGAGAGAGGGAGTCACAGACTGAAACAGGCTCCAGGCTCTGAGCTGGCAGTCAGCACAGAGCCCGACGCGGGGCTCGAACCCACGAACTGCGAGATCATGACCTAAGCGAAAGTCGGACGCTTAACCGACTAAGCCACCCAGGCGCCCCAAAAAAAAATTTTTAAAAAGAATAAAACAAGAAACAAAAACCTGAGTTGTTTTGTTTGGTGCTTAACTGTTGATTCTGTCCTTGGCCCTTTACCCACTATGTGTGTTCTCTACAACTACTCCTATCCTTCAGCTATGGATTCAGCTCTCAATTTTAGGTTGATGGCTAATTCTCATCTTCCATCATACCTCTAACTGCCTAGTGGACCTTTCCATCTGTAAGTTCTACAGACATTTCAAATTTTGCACCTTCAAATTTTCATACCTTTGCTCATTCCTCCTTATTTCTCTTTTGTCTCCACTCTCTCCATGTTCCTTTCCTCACTAGATCACACAATTATTTGGACAGGTTCTGAGATAGTCACCTGTAAGTCCTATGTAATTCTTCCAGTTCTGTCACAGATTAGTACAAATCTGTGACTACTATCTTCAGTTTCCTGCAAAATAGATGATGAATACTTAAGTTTGCTGATTCAATAATTAACATCTTAATTATTTTTACTATGTTTTTTTTTCCCCTCATAGTGTAATACAAGATTAGGTAAATATGAAGCCTTAATATACAGTTTGTAATGAACTCTGATCCTTGGATACTAGCTACATGAGTTCTTACATATTTTTATTTTGACCACTGCATCTAATTTTTTATTTTATTTTTTTTTTAATTTATTTTTGAGAGAGAGAGAGGCAGCGTGAGCAGAGAAGGGTCAGAGAGAGAGGGAGTCACAGAATCTGAAGGAGGCTCCAGGCTCTGAGCTAGCTGTCAGCACAGAGCCCGATGAGGGGCTCTAACCCAAGAACTCTGAGATCATGACCTTAGCTGAAGTCGGACACTTAACCGACTGAGCCACCCAGGCGCCCCAACATCTAATTTTTTTAAAAAAATTTTAAAGTTTATTTATTTTTGAGACAGAGACAGAGCATGAGCAGGGGAGGGGCAGAGAGAGAGGAAGACACGGAATCTGAAACAGGCTCCAGGCTCTTAGCTGTCTGCACAGAACCTGATGCGGGGCTCGAACCCACAAACTGCGAGATCATGACCTGAGCCGAAGTCGGACACTTAACCAACTGAGCTACCCAGGCACCCCCACTGCATCTAACTTTGATGACTTCATATTAATTAGGATGATGTTTTTACAGGAAACAGTGACGTTTAAGGATGTGGCTGTGGACCTCACCCAGGAGGAATGGCAGCAGCTGAAACCTGCTCAGAAGAACTTGTACCGGGATGTGATGCTAGAGAACTACAGCAACCTAGTCACAGTGGGTAAGGATAGCTTTGCAATTTTACATGGAATTCCTTTCCAGTTTTGGAATGTATGAAGACTAACTTGCCAGGTGAATTTAGTCTTCCTTTTCTTCACATGATTGTATGTACTCATCTGCAGGATAAAGCCTAATTACTTTGTCTCACTGTGGAAATTCCTTTCTCCTCATTCTCCATAGGCCCTCAAGCCCCTAAGACTCAGCCCAAGGTGTGGATAGTTGCCTCCAGCATTAACACGCAAGTCTTTACTATTTCTTGTAATAGGTTGTCAAGTCACCAAACCAGATGTGATCTTCAAGTTGGAACAGGAAGAGGAGCCATGGGTGGTAGAGGAAGAAATGCTTGGGAGGCACTGTCCAGGTGAATAAGTAAAAAGGCAGCTCTGAATGAGAAAGACCCATAACAATTGTTCATGGTGTTGATACTATTTTACATTTTCCAAGATTTTCTTCTTTTTTTAAACTTAATTTATTTATTCTTGGGGGGAGGTGGTGGTGAGAGAGAATCCCAAGCAGTCTCCACAGTGACAGGACATAGCCTTATGCGGGGCTCAAACTCACGAACCGTAAGATCATGACCTGAGCAGAAGTCATATTTAACCGACTGAGCCACCTAGGTGCCCCTCTTTGGCTAATTTTATACAGTTCCTGCTCCAGATGATTAAATAGCGTTTCTCTAGAAACACCTGCTTCCTTTAGTGGGAAATGATTTGGAGACGAAAATCTGGGCACAATAGTTGCTCATTAGTACTGGGTTATCATTGCTTCTAGGGCTTTTAAGTGGACAAAGCCAGGAAAAATACACTTCTTAGACAGAAAAAAAAAAATGTATGTGTTTATACTGATATATCCAATTCAAATTAAGGAGTGTAGGGTTGTTACTTCTTTTGTTTTGTTTTGGTATATTTTATACTGAGAATCTTGGCTCCTTATTGCATTAAAATATTTATTTGCTTAATCTATATATATTTCTCAACCTTGGCACTGCTGACATTTTTGGCCAGATAATTTTTTGCTGTGGGGGACTATCCTGTGCATTGTAGGATGTTTATATAGGTGTAGAATGTTTAACACCCTCTGTGTCCTCTACTTATTAGGTGCTAGAAGCATATATCCCCTTTCTTAACACTCCCCCAAATCGTGACAGCCCAAAATGTCTCCAGACCTTCCAGATACTGCCAAATGTCTCTTGAGGCCCCAAACTGATCTAATATATATATTAATATAATATGATATAATCTATATTATAAAAAATATACTGACAAATGAACAATATTATTACTAATGATAATATATATAATGATGAAATACAAATATATATAATATACTAACAAATTAATAATACCATTATTACTAATGATGAAAAGATTATTGAATGTAGTTTAAGACTTCTTTGGTTTTATTTTTTTCTCCCTTAGGATATAGTCACACTACTGTGTTTAAAAAGTCACTTTGAAGGGATTATGGCCCTAACATGATACGTAGGTTTACTTGTTTCCATTTGTTTTCGATTTTTAAGTGTTATTTTGTATTTTCCTCCTTTTTAGATTTCATTTTTTTAAATTATGTAAAATATTTACATGATTCCAGTGTCAAAGCTATAAAACAAGTCAGAGATGTCATGCTTCCAGTCAGGATATGTAAGTGAAAAGAAATCAATGTGCAGAACAGCATTTACAATATGCTACTTTTTTTATAAAAGAGTGGGAGAGGCAAATGTGTTAGATATATGTATGTATATATGTTGAGTATATGTAGATATTAAAAGAATATAGGAATAACCTCAAAACTAATAAAAATGCTTATGTGTCAGGGAAGGAGGAGTCAGTGTTTCAGGGATAGGATGAAATCTAGTTCTCTCTGAGTATGCTGCTGTTTGGTAATTTCCAATTATTATCAACTTGATATTACTGGAAGATGAGGTTTAGTACTCTTATACCACCACTACCACTTTCCCTTTCCTTTTTCTCTGGATGTAGATATATCACAATTTTTGGCTAAATTGCTTTTTACTGCTTACTTTGTTCTTTTAAGTGATACATTGTTACTACTGAGCCAAGAAATGACTATTAATTACATATCCTTATATAAATTGTTGCATTCCTAGAGTTACTACTTGCCTAATTTTTTAGTCTGCTTTGTTTTCTATATATTTTTAATTTTAATGAGACTCTCAAATCTTTGTTTAAATAGGGAATCCATCAGTGTCATTAGTTTTCCTTATTTTGATGCATGAAAGGATAAAAAGGAAATTCTAAAAATCTTATAGCTAACTGATTTTTGATGCTTTTTGAGTAGGAGTCTGTTGGATTAGAACCTAGGAGTTTTTGTGGAGTTCCAAATGCCAATTCTAGAATTCCAGTTCTGTGGGTCTTGTATTTTTAATCTTCTCATCTGATATTTGGAGGTACATGCCAGCATTCATGAGGGACAAGCAACAGAAAAGGATTGGAGGGGCTCATAGCTGGCTCAGTGAGTAAAGCGTCTGGCTTCGACTCAGGTCATGATCTCAGGATTCGAGCCCTGTGTCAGGCTCTGTGCTGACAACTCAGAGCCTGGAGCTTTGCTTCAGATTCTGTGTCTCCCTCTCTCTCTCTGCCTCTGCCCTGCTTATGCTCTCTCAAAAATAAATAAACTTTTTTACATATATATATACACATGCATATGTATTTATTATATATAATTATATGTGTTATGTATATATGTTTATATGGTTATATATTTTATATTACATAGGTATTATATATGTTTGAGATATATATAATATATATATTTTTTTAAGAAAAAGGTTTGGAGATCTTACCATTCAATATATACAAGTTTACATTATTCCTATTTTTTTAGTATGAGGCTTCCTTTGCATCTGCTTTATTTGTTCCTAAGTCTAGAGCCTGTATAATTCATTTTCTCTAGAAAGCAAGCCTTCCTTTTCCTGATCAAGTGATGGATACATGACAACTTCCTGTGTAGGTTGGGTAGGAGGTGGGGGGATATTGGTCATGATTCAGTTACAGAGAAAAGAGCTCATTAGTAGCTAACTTGAGAAGGAAGGAATGTATATGAAGGTATTAAATGTCACATCCAGAACCCTGTATGCAAGTGTGTCTAGGAAATGTAGCTTTAATTCACCCTTTGCAGGATGTGGAAACAGTATGAGGTTGGAAAGATGTTACATAAGTAAATCCATAATAGTTGCCTCAGGGAATGTAATTGCTCCTTAAGATTTTAAGTTAATCCTCTTCATACATCTTATTTCTGTCTTCTGATTACCTGAATCCTTTAATTTGTTAGCTTTTCCAGTGCTTTGTGGCCAAAATCACTTTGTTACCTGACTTTTACAAGTTTGTAGTACCTTAACTTATTAGCCCTGCTGTTAGTTATCAGTTCCCTATATGCCTTTCATCTCCATTCTTTTGTTTACCCTTCTTTATATTCCTATTTCTTTTTTTTTTTTTTTTNTCTTTATATTCCTATTTCTTTTTTTTTTTTTTTTTGCATTTTACCTTTAATTCTTTTACTGTCATTTTAATGGATTTTTTTTTAATTTTTTTTTAATGTTTTATTTATTTCTAGGAGAGAGAGAGACAGCGTGAGCAGGGGAGGGTCAGAGAGAGAGAGGGAGTGACAGACTGAAACAGGCTCCAGGCCCCGAGCCGGCAGTCAGCACAGAGCCCGACGCGGGGCTCGAACCCACAAACCGCGAGATCATGACCTAAGCGAAAGTCGGACGCTTAACCGACTAAGCCACCCAGGCGCCCCTTAATGGATTTTTAGGGAGAAAGAGAAATAAACATATACATTCAATCCATTGTGTTTAACCACAAGTGTTAGTTACTTCTTTCCTTCGGTCATTTTGACTCCCTATCCTGTCATTTATATATTCACCCTTTCATCTTAATTATTTTGTTCATGTTACTAATTTCTGCATTATATAAGCACACTTTTAAAATCAATCAAAGCTACTTAGGCTTATCAATATCAGTTTTCTCTCCGTAATATTTTCTATAGGAGTTAACCTCTTAAAACTTAGAAACTAGACACATTTGTACTTTGGATTTCTTTTATATTGGGAGAGACTAGAGTCAATATCAAAGACCAACTCTGTAGTAGAAAATTTCTGAAATGTTATTAATAGAGCAGAAAAATTCAAAAGTAACAATTTTGGTCCTCCGTTTTAGAAGTTTGGAAAGTTGATGAACAACAGATCAAGAAGCAACATGAAGCACTTGTGAGGAAAGTCACCATCTCCAAGAAAACTCTGATTAAGGAAAATGTCATTGAATGTAAAAAAGTTACAAAAATATTTCCTTTGAATTCAAATATTATTACTTCAAGACAAAACTTCTATGAATGTGACTCACTTGATAAAGGATTGGAACATAATTTAGACTTACTTAGTTATGATAAGGACTCTATAAGAGAGGAAAATTATGAATATAATAAATACATGAAGCCATTTTACCATTGCTCGTCCCCTGTTCTAATCCCCTTTAAGTGTAATCAGTGTGGACAAGACTTCAGTCATAAATTTGACCTCATCAGACATGAAAGAATTCATGCTGGAGAGAAACCCTATGAGTGTAAGGAATGTGGAAAAACTTTCAGCAGGAAGGAAAATCTTATTACACATCAAAAAATTCATACTGGGGAGAAACCATATAAATGTAATGAATGTGGAAAAGCTTTCATTCAGATGTCAAACCTCATTAGACACCAGCGAATTCATACAGGGGAGAAACCTTATGCATGTAAGGATTGTTGGAAAGCCTTCAGTCAGAAATCAAATCTCATTGAACATGAGAGAATTCATACTGGAGAAAAACCCTATGAATGTAAAGAATGTGGAAAATCCTTCAGCCAGAAGCAAAATCTTATTGAGCATGAGAAAATCCATACTGGGGAGAAACCTTATGCATGTAATGAATGTGGTAGAGCCTTTTCTCGAATGTCATCTGTTACTCTACACATGAGAAGTCACACAGGGGAGAAGCCCTATAAATGTAATAAATGTGGAAAAGCCTTCTCTCAGTGTTCAGTGTTTATTATACATATGAGAAGTCATACTGGTGAGAAACCCTATGTATGTAGTGAATGTGGGAAAGCGTTCTCTCAAAGTTCATCCCTTACTGTGCATATGAGAAATCATACAGCTGAGAAACCTTATGAATGTAATGAGTGTGGAAAAGCCTTCAGCAGGAAAGAAAATCTCATTACACATCAGAAAATTCACACTGGAGAGAAACCATATGAATGTAATGAATGTGGGAAAGCTTTCATTCAGATGTCAAACCTCATTAGACACCAGAGAATTCATACTGGTGAGAAACCTTATGCATGTACAGTATGTGGGAAAGCCTTTAGTCAGAAATCAAACCTCACTGAACATGAGAAAATTCATACTGGAGAAAAACCCTATCATTGTAATCAATGTGGAAAAGCTTTCAGTCAGAGACAAAATCTCCTTGAGCATGAAAAAATTCATACTGGAGAGAAACCATTTAAATGTAATGAATGTGGTAAAGCCTTCTCTCGAATCTCATCCCTTACTCTTCATGTGAGAAGTCATACAGGAGAGAAACCTTATGAATGTAATAAATGCGGAAAAGCCTTCTCTCAATGCTCATTACTTATTATACATATGAGAAGTCATACTGGTGAAAAACCTTTTGAATGTAATGAATGTGGGAAAGCATTCTCTCAAAGAGCATCTCTTTCTATACATAAGAGAGGTCATACAGGTGAGAAACGCCGAGTATTCTAAATGAGGGAAGGTGTTTTCTTAAACTCATGCTTTACCTAACTTTTGAAATATATTGGTGTAAACTCAAAATAACAAGATCTTTATGGAAAAATTGTAAAGCTTTACTGAAGGGCATAAGACTCGAATAAATGAAGAGAGATACCATGTATAGAGATGGAAAAACTCAGTATCATAAAAGTGTCAGTTCTCCCAAAATGAATCTATAGACCTAATATAATTCCAAGCATCTAACAAGAATTTCTAGGATCTTTACAAAATGATTCTAAAATTCATGTGAAATGGAAGTCCCTGGATTGCCAAGACAATTTTAAAAGAGAACATCAAGGATATATCTTCTACCATATAATACACAAAAGTTATGATCATTAAATAGTGTGTGGTATTAGAGCATGAACTCATAAATAGATTTTACAGAATAGAATGCCTAGAAATAAATCAAACCTGGTATATATTATACATGACATCATGAATCAGTAGAGAAATGACAACCAATAAAATTTGTTGAAGTATTTGGTTCCCCATATTGGGGAAAATAAAACTACGTGCAACCTTACAATATATGAAGAAACAGAATTCCAAAGGATTTGAAGACTGGAATGTGAAAAGCCAAACTGAAATTCTTGGAAGGAAATAAAAGATGTTGTCTATGACTTCGAGGCAGAGAAGCATTTTTAAAAAGACAAGAGGACGCTGCAGTTCCATTTCTATAAATTCATCCTAAAGAAACTCACAGATATGCATTTATATATGATAATATATAAATGCATATATATAAACTATAGATGCTAAATTATAGATGGGGTAATGGATAATAGTAATGATATAGGCAAATAATGGAATAGTATACAGCAGTTAAAAGCAATAGACTAGATCTGTATTTTGTAACATGGGTAGTTATGTAAAACAGTGTTCAGTGAAAAAAGGTCAAGATCCTCAAATGAAACATATTATATAATGACATTCATGTAAATTGGAATTAAATCATAAAGAACAGAACTATGTTTTATTATTATTATTGAAATATGTATGTATTTAAAATGTACTAGAAGGGTACATACCAAATTATTATTAGTATTTTCTCTGGCAGGAGATTAGGATTGAGGGTGTTGATCAAAGGGGACTTTTAGCTTTATTTGTAATTTTTATGCCTTAAAAAAGAAGGTTGATAGCATATAAAATAAATCTTAATGATTCACAGTGGAAATATGAATGTCTTGTCTTAATGGTGTTTTTGTAGTTATTTCTCAGATTTTATGGGCTAGGGAAAGCCTGTGCCCATAGGAAAAAATGTTATAATGGATCCATATGCCCTATCAGACACGGAGCTATTTTATCAAAAATATTTCCAGAAAATTCGTAATTAGAAGTGATAGTCCTATTTACTATATAATATGAAATTAGAATACCAATCTTATGATTTTTTTTACATTTTAACATTTCTAAAATTGTAATTCATCTTTTTACCAATTATGTCTTAGATTTAACTATGTAATTATTTATTAAAATTTTGAAAATCAGATGGGAGTATGATAAATCAAGTATGATTTTATTTTTTATATTATAGTCTACTAATGATTCCGTCTCTCTCAGTGTGTCTTGCATTATTTGGCAACAGGTTTGTTGGATTCATAGCTAATTAATTAGTAATATATTTAGAGTCATTATGGAGAAAATAACATTTTTATGGAATTGACTCTCTGACATCAGTTTTCTTGCTGTGTAGGTTTCCATAAAACCAAGACAAACATTAATATATTGTTAATCATTACAACATTTTGAAATAAGAAAGCCTTTTATTTTCTTGAGATGGCCATAAGCAATTGTGTAACATTGCTTCACTCTTAACCTACAGATTATTTTATTCCTTTCACAACCCTTGACCTATTTGGCCTATCTCATTTTAGTTGGAAGTGGTAGTGGTCTCAGACCCTGAGCTGTAAAAACAGAGTTCCTATAAAAGGATCTTCTCTATAACAATATGTGAACAACCCCTTAAAGTAATGTTTTATTATGCCATCTCTACAATATTACTTAATATACAGAAAACCATTACTGCCTTTTTAGAAAGGAGATTAGAATGGGAGCTATTGATCAAAAGGGAACTTAAAGCATTGAATGTTTGAATGTTTGCTATATTTGTTTGAGGGTGATTTCACAAAACAAAATATCAAACTAAAGTTGTGATATACAAACATGACTGTATCACTTTTGATTTTATTAGCTATTTTTTAAAAATTTTCTTTATGTCTTTATTGCAAGAGACAGAGAGCGAGCAGAGGAGGGGCCAGAGAGAGGGAGACACAGACTCTGAAGCAGACTTCAGGCTCTGAGCTGTCAGCACAGAGCCCGACATGGGGCTCGAACCCACAGACTGTGAGATCATGACCTGAGCTGAAGTCGAATGCTTAACTGACTCAGCCACCCAGGCACCCCAATTTTATTAGCTATTTTTAGAGATTGACAGTGACTTACATTTATAAATTTCAGGGGCTGATTTTCATGAAAACAACAATTTACCAAAACTTAAGTATCTAAATGAGTAGTATCTCATAGTCTCTTCCTTATTATTATTTTTTTAGTGTTTATTTATTTTTGAGAGAGAGACAGAGCATGAGCAGGGGAGGGGCGGAGAAAGAGGGAGACACAGAATCTGAAGTAAGCTCCAGGCTCTGAGCTGTCAGCACAGAGCCTGATGTGGGGCTTGAACCCACAAACCATGAGCCAAAGTAGGACACTTAACCGACTGAGCCATCCAGGCGCCCCCATATCTCTTCTTTAGTAGGTTTTATGCTAAGTCCAATTTTGCCAGCATACCTAATTTTTGAGACTTGTTTTTGAAAAAAACAGTTTTCAAAGCTCATTTGTTATCTACATAACAAAACCTGTGTTTGATGAGGATTTGCAGAAATTGGAACCCTTGTCCATTTTTGATAGTAATATAAAATTAGTGTATAGCTACTGAGGAAAACAGTTGGGCAGTTCCTCAAAAAATTAAACATAATTACTATATGATTCTGTATTTCTGCACCTAAATCTATCTCTAGAAGAATTGAAAGCAGGGGTTCAACTTGATCCTTGTACACCGGTGTTCATAGTGGCATATTCAGAATAGCCAAAAAATGGAAACAATTCAAGTGTCTAGCAATGTATGAATAGATAAAATGTAGGATATACATAAAATGGATTATTATTCAGCCATGCAAAGGAAAGACTTTCTGATACATACTATGACATAACTGAGCCTTGGAAATAAATGATTCCATTTACATGCAGTAACTAGAATAGGCAACTTCATAGAGAAAGTAGAGATTACCAGGGTGAAGGAAGAAGAAATGGAGGGTTACTGTTAAATGGGTACATCGGTTGTTTCAGATGATGAGAAAATTCTGGAAATAGTGATGGTGACTGTGCAACATTATGAATATACTTAGGGGCGCCTGGGTGGCTTAGTCGGTTAAGCGTCCGACTTTCGCTTTGGTCATGATCTCGCGGTTCGTGGGTTCGAGCCCCGCGTCGGGCTCTGTGCTGACTGCCAGCTCAGAGCCTGGAGCCTGTTTCAGTCTGTGACTCCCTCTCTCTCTGACCCTCCCCTGCTCACGCTCTCTCTCTCTCTCTCTCTCCTAGAAATAAATAAAAAAAAAACATTAAAAAAAATGAATATACTTAATGTCATTTAATTGTATACATAAAATTGTTAAAATGTTAACTTTTATGTTACTAATGCTTTAACACACATATGCATTTGCATAAGTTTAAAAATACCCTATTTTGTAATGTCAACATCTGAATTATTTTATTTTTAAATATAATTTATTGTCAAATTGGCTTCCATACAACACCCAGTGCTCATCCCAACAAATTCCCTCCTCCATGCCCATCACCCACTTTCCCCTCCTCTCCACCCCCCAAGAATTATTTTAGAGTCATTCTCTATTGATAACTTTTTCTCTTGACTCTCACCTTTCCTATATTTTTGCTTATCTAGTAATTTTGATTGTATACTGAAACTTATGAATGATATGTTGCAGAGACTATGTTGTAATTTTCTGGGGAATGTTGTCTTTTGTCCTAAAAACAGTTACCATGGCTGGGTTTAAAATCCAGCAGTAGCTGAAATACCTGCTCCATTCTTACTGTCTTCTAGCTGTTGGTTTCTGTAGGCTCTTTGGAGTTTACATAAATTTGTCAGGTTCAGGCATCAAAGATTTAGGCAGAATTTATATGTAGATGTTGAATCTCCTCTCTGTAGTTCCTCCTTTCTGGAATTTAACTTTTTATTTTTAAACCACTTTAGCAGCCTCAAACTTCACCCTCCCACTTCTCAGGCTAGTAAAACTGTGGCTTTCTACTTGAGTTTAGCCACTCCATGCCACAGAGGCGAGAAAGTTCCATTACATGATAATCTGTATAAAAATTAATGTCTCACAGTATACTTTTTTTCAAAGGTTAACTTCCCTTCAACTTTTTGCCTGTTTTTAGGTGTTCCCCAATGCCTTTACATTGTGTGTGTGTGTGTGTGTGTGTGTGTGTGTAAAATATATGTAGTCCAGAATTCTTTTTTTTTGCAATCCATGAAACATTTTATTTTGAATTAATATTTATGTATTTTTAATTTTATTTATTCTAAAGTTAGGTAACATACAGTGTAGTTAGTCTTAGCTTTAGGAGTTGATTCCAGTTATTCATCACTTACATATAACACCCAGTGCACATCCCAACAAGTGCCCTCCTTAATTTCCATCACCCATTTCCCCCACCCTCCCACCTCTTACCCATCAACCCTCAGTTTGTCTTCTGTATTTACAGTTTGCCTCCCTTTCTTATTTTATCTTATTTTCCTACCCTTCCCCTATGATCATCTGTTAAGTTTCTGAAATTCCACATATGTGTGAATTCATATGATATCTGTCTTTTTTGACTTATTTTGCTTAGCACAATCCCCTCCAGTTCCATCCACATTGTTGCAAATCACAAGAT